AAATGTGATGTTTCGGAGATAGAGAAGCAGGTGTTGACGGCCGGAACAGTCTCCAGTCGTGTCATAACACCGTCAAAGGGAACAGCAGCAGTAGCACCAAGAGAAGACTCGTCTCTAGGGGTGAGAGGGGGAGCTGCGCCCCCACGCCCACCAGCCCCTGCCGATGCCGACGTGATGACCGTCCCCCCACCACGGCCCCCAGCACCCTGGGCCTATTCGGTGTCACCGCCGCCACCGGAGGCCTATATTTACGGACTGCCACTGGTGTCAGTGGTGCCGGCGTCAGTGTACGGCGTGCCGCGGGTAGGTGGCGGCCTTGTGGTTCGCCGCATACACATAGTCAATGTGAGTAGTGCTACCTCTTAACGCCCGCCCGCCCACTCTCCCGCCCGCTCGCCCACTCTCCCGCCCGCTCGCCCGCCCACTCTGCCCTCATCATGATGAGGGCCAGGGGCAGCGGGCGGTGCTGGGGGTCTGGCGAGGTGTGTAGTGACCCCTGGTGCTGTGTTGACCCAGCCACCACGCCAAGCAGATTTAGTTACGTCTGTCTTGTCACTCGTGACAAGTGTAGCTTCATGCAGCTGTACTCACCCATTAGTGCTGGTGGTTGGAGTGGCATAATACTAACTAGTGGTGACCCCTGTAACACGCGACGGACCCCAGCCTGTCTGGCGCACCTCAGCTCGGCCCAAGTGCCAGCTGTCTTGTGTGCTGACCCTCCCACTGCCACACAACCTCTGTGAGCCCAATGTGTTGGTGTTGTCCAACGTCTGGACTGTGCCACTTTGGGACTGTGTCACCGCTGTACTGTGTCCCGCTCTTCTGTGTCACCGTCCCGTCCACGTGCAAGTGGTGCAGCGCCCACCACCGCAGCAACCCGGCTTGTGACTCGTGTGTTTGTGTGTCCTGCAGAACTGACCGGGCCCGGACCGCTACCACTCTTAATACTGGACTGTCTTCCTGTAACCACTAAGGATTAATCCCAGTGTTCGTACCTAATACCGTTCCGTCTTCGTTGTGATTAACGCACCACGATTAATCCCATTTTAAAGTTGTCATCTTCCGCCCTGGTTGTTGCCACCAAGCCAAGGATAAATTCCACTTGTTAAACTTCCCATATCGGTTGTTGCCATTAACTTCAGTAAATCGCAGTGTTTATAATGTTTAGCGAAGGTGTGTTCGTGCTATATATATGTGTGTTATATGTAGCTAGGAGACCATGCTAGTGCGTCCCATGTGAGGGGAGCCGCCATGACCAGGGTGTGGCCGCGTCCTTACAGAGTCCCGCCGACGACCCATTCAACCGACCCCCTTCTGGAGGTCCCGTCAAGCGCAACGACGCAGAGTACCGGTGGGTGACGGACGAGACCAAGTACGAAGTGAGGGAGGTGGTAGAGTTCCCCTGTGTCACCGACCGAGTGAGTACCCCCAGAGTGGCGTCCCAGCACCACCCTGGTGAACTGTGTGTGGCTCTAATATAGTGGCCGTGTTTAGCCACACCAGTGGGCAGCGTGACCGATCTAACAGCTGCTGCAAATCCATGAAATAATGTTTTGGTTGATTGGCACTAAAGATACCTAGCTGAGGAGTGTGCATGGGTTTGACCTTCCCGGCTACTACTAAAACCCGAGTGCTTTCTTGGGGCAGCAGTGACAAGTAGCAGAAACTTCTCCAGGTAGACTGGAGGAGGCAGGTAGCAGACCACCTCCAGGTAGACTGGAGGAGGCAGGTAGCAGACCACCTCCAGGTAGACTGGAGGAGGCAGGTAGCAGACCTCCTCCAGGTAGACTGGAGGAGGCAGGTAGCAGACCTCCTCCAGATAGACTGGAGGAGGCAGGTAGCAGAACTCCTCCAGGTAGACTGGAGGAGGCAGGTAGCAGACCTCCTCCAGGTAGACTGGAGGAGGCAGGTAGCAGACCTCCTCCAGGTAGACTGGAGGAGGCAGGTAGCAGATCTCCTCCAGGTAGACACTTTTAGACTGATGCTACGCCAAGACCCATATTTGTGTGCGTGTGTGTGTGTGTGTCACTGTGTCCCGCGAGAGGCATCAACGGCGCCAGCGAGGGAGAAGAGGACCTCGTGGTGGAGAAGACATCCCGCGCAGTGTGAGAAGCCATTGACCACCACAACTGCACTAATCTCATCACGATACCTCAGTCCCCCCCACACCTCTTCCTCCCTTCTCACTATTCCTCATTCCCTTTCCTGCCTCCATCCCTCTTTACCTTCCCTTTCTACATCCCCTCCATTCTCTATCAATCACCATATCTCCTCACCAAGTTAACATATCCTTGAAGCTTAACTCTATATATTTCGTGTATACAGAATACATATAGTGGGGGATTTGGTCCAAAGTGAGTATATGAGTGGGTGTAGATGGAAGTATAGTGGGTATATGAGTGGGTGTAGATGGAAGTATAGTGGGTATATGAGTGGTAGATAAGATTGTTGTGAACATGGTTAGGACAGCATTGCATGTGATAGAATTGTATTGAGTCTGCTCGGTAAGGCAACGGTTGTATTCGGTATACCAAGTGAGGCAGCAGTTGTATTGGGTACAGCAGGCGAGGCAGCACTGGGCCCTGAGTGGTAGGGGGTACTGCGGGTCAGTATGTACTGTGAGTGGGTGGACACGTAGATGAATATTATGCAGTAACGAATGTGGGGTGTATTGTAGTGGGTGTATTGTAGTGGGTGTAGCTTGGACTAGTAGTCCTGCAGTGTTGATAGAAAAGTGTATATAGCACAGTGGTGGCTGTGTGTGGCACAGTAGCGAGTGTGGGTGGCACAGTAGCGAGTGTGGGTGGCACAGTAGCGAGTGTGGGTGGCACAGTAGCGAGTGTGGGTGGCACAGTAGTGTGGGTGGGTGGCACAGTAGTGAGTGTGGGTGGCACATTAGTGAGTGTGGGTGGCACAGTAGCGAGTGTGGGTGGCACAGTAGTGAATGTGGGTGGCACAGTAGCGAGTGTGGGTGGCATAGTAGTGAGTGTGGGTGGCACAGTAGCGAGTGTGGGTGACACAGTAGTGAGTGTGGGTGGAACAGTAGTGTGTGGCACAGTAGTGAGTGTGGGTGGCACAGTAGTGAGTGTGGGTGGCACAGTAGTGAGTGTGGGTGGCACAGTAGGAAGTGTGCGCGGCACAGTAGTGAGTGCGGGTGGCACAGTACGGGACACTACTGTTTGTACAGATCCGGGACATGTAAATAGCCAGGGAAGCTGGCCCTCATCCTCGTCTCCACTAGAACACATGATCCACACACTAGCTACACTCCTGCCACTAGTACGGTGCACACTAGCTACACTCCTGCCACTAGTACGGTGCCCACCTATACTAGCCGTCCACTAGTACGGTGCCCACCTATACTAGCCGTCCACTAGTACGGTGCTCACCTATACTAGCCGTCCACTAGTACGGTGCCCACCTATACTAGCCGTCCACTAGTACGGTGCCCACCTATACTAGCCGTCCACTAGTACGGTGCTCACCTATACTAGCCGTCCACTAGTACGGTGCCCACCTATACTAGCCGTCCACTAGTACGGTGCCCACCTATACTAGCCGTCCACTAGTACATTCAACTACCACCCAGCCCACAGCCCTCGGTCATCAACCATCCCCACCGCCTCTTCCACTAATTTAAGTTACCTTAAGTGTGTTGAAAAAAAAAACTATTTTCGTGTTCTATTATTTTTCCATATTTTATTTCAGCTTTTTATGTTTCGTTTGAGAGCTGTTTTCTGGCCCAAATACTAACAAAGTAGCTGGGTCGGGAAGTTATGTTATAGCGAGGGTGTGCTCTCTGGCTTGAGCTTCGGGCCGACTCCTCTTTATAATCTTAGAGTTAGTGGGTGTGGCTTAGCGCGCCTCACCCTCCTAGTTGTACACTATCTGTAAGTGAAACGTCCAGTCAGGGATTGTGTGAGGCCCGGGTCTCGGGCCCCTGGGTCCCGTGTCTCGGGCCCCTGGGTCCCGTGTCTCGGGCCCCTGGGTCCCGTGTCTCGGGCCCCTGGGTCCTGTGTCTCGGGCCCCTGGGTCCCGTGTCTCGGGCCCCTGGGTCCCGTGTCTCGGGCCTCTGAGGCCCGGTTCTCGGGCCCCGGGCCTCAGGCCCCTGGGCCCCGGGTCTCGGGCCTCTGGGTCCCGTGTCTCGGGCCCCTGCTCCCCGGGTCTTTGGGGCTCACATGAATAGCTTGGTGCCTCTTCATGTGAGGCAATATGTTTCCTTGTGCTCACTGGTATTCCAGTATTCTCTTTAGAATATAAGTTATTTGCATACAACAGATCTTCTGCTGAGTAACTGCATCATATCATCATTATTTCGCCCTAATTTTCGTTTAACACAGCAATTGGTATTCAATTGTTTGAAAGAATTTTATAAGTTTGATGCTTTCCCGGTGTGGCAAAAATATTTCATCATATCTTGGCCATATACACCCAAGATATAGCCGGAGCCATATCATATACTTCCAAATGGAGCCATAGTGTATGGGATATTAGTGATAATTAATTGCGGCCTGCAACCAGTAGCAGCCGGTCTGGTGAGGAGAACGCTGGCACACCTGGTGCAATGTTCCTGCAACATTGCACTACAGAACACACAATATCCGCACTTGGAAACTATATTTGGTATTGCCCTTAGTTTTCCTTGTTATATTGGACAATTAAATGTAACTAAGTAAACGAGAAAACATCTAACCTCACGGGATAACTGTGAATCCAAATTTGAGGTCATGAGATTGATATGTGATTGTAATTATAATGCAATTAAATATATACATGTCTCCGAGTTAGGGTGTAGAGCACCTACTTTTTTTTCTTCATATTTTTAAATTGTGTATGGAGGAAAACACTTATAATTATTTCCCATTTTTAATTGTGCTCTTATGTGTTGATATTATAATTATATTATTGAGCAGTTTAAGGGTTAAACGTGAATTGCACGCTCCTAATAGAGGCAAGGGTCCTCTGGGACAAATCTCGGCCACTGACATGGATGAAACATTGTATCAACTTTGGCTTGGCGTTGGTCTTACATGGACTTAATGATGGCCTTACATGGACTTGCCATTACCCGAGGATATTTTTGGCTGTTGGGACGGAGGCGTGTTGGGTTGATACTCCCTGACTTGATTCACTTGTACCTGATGTGTACAGGAAGCTGACACACCTCAACATTAGACTTTGTTTCCAGCAAGGTAGCTTAGCCCCTCCCTACCTGTTATTTCAGCTCTCTGAATAAGCTTGCCTCTCAGCCTCTCCCTTCCCTTTACCACAGAAGCAGGAGAAGCTTCGCAGCCCAGCGCTTGTCCGCAAACTGGTGAGTATCCGCGATGTCGTGCTCATGGTGGCGGGGGTTGCACCATCCAAGTATTAATACTGCATACATCCTCCTCCCGTCCACTTTAACCAGGCTCACCTTCCTCCCTTAACCCACCAGATGGTTCACTCTCATCTGGATGCATTTTCACAGCTGGAGGGTTTGTTGTCATTGGTCACACCACCTCGGGTCTTGCACGGGTCTTGTACACGCTCAAGGTACACTTACTAGCACCATGGACTTATTAACGACGGGTATTACCCTGCACGTGGCACTGCCGGAGGTGGTCAGTGCCAAGCCTCCACCTTAGTCATTATCTACTAATAATAACCCCTAAATTTAGCCACCATTATTAACCTTATGTATGAAGACTCACCATCACTTGAAATCCACAACCAATAAACCTCTCACAGTGAAGACCTTCTTAGCAACAGCAGGACTCCAGTGAAGATCTTTAGTAGCAGCATCAAATCGTTGCCTGAAAAAATGTCAAAATCACCTTTGAGGTCGTCCACCGGTGACACGTCACCACACCAGCAACAACTCCCAGAAGCTCTCACTCACTGCGCCCCCCAAGGTCGTCATTACTTCGACCACAACCACCTGATGAAGACCGTGCATTGAGGACCTTCGCTACTAAGCACATTATTGAAGACCCTCACTAACGACTCAACAAGACATAACACAGGACCGGCAACCTCCTGGCTAGAGTGCTCGAGTGATACTCGAAGAGTAACACTTCTCTCATCCCCTCCAACTCAAAGCAGTGAAAAAAAATGTAAATAGTAGGCATCCATCAGTCTCTGGAAATTATGGAATTCCACTCTGGTTGTCGGTCTGGAGTGGCCTCTCCAGGGCGCAAAGCCAGGGTGGGTTGATACGGAGGAGAAGCTGTTACCCAAGCAGCAGGTCCCCCCCCTCCTCTCCACGGCGCCGAAAGTCTCCAGTGGAAAGGCAAACGCCAATACGATTGGTTCCAGCGCCGTCGCAGGAACTGTGAGCTCCGGAGTTGACCTCGAAGTTAATGAAAGAAGACACAGGGACTCCAAATTCGGAGACCACCGTGGTCGGGGCCGGAGAAAAACCACTTCAGCAAGGACAAGAACGACCCCAGCCTCCTGAAGCAGAGCCTGGGGGGCCGAGTGAGCCCCAGGAGGTGGACGTCCCGGTCCCTCACCTACGGGTTCCTGACAGAGATCGTCACAGCCCTCTTTCACCCGAGGCCGGCTTCCTTCATGACCCAGCAGAAGGAAGAGTGATAGTTATTAAATACAATAATTATTATTATAATAATGATAATAATAATATAATTAATTAATAATTATCACTCTTCCATATATTGTAAATACTGGTGTATATAAATGTATAAAAGACACGGCCTTTTACCCTAACATTTGAGCTGAGCCCCAGTATAGCCAGCCACACACTACAGCCACACACTACAGCCACACACTACAGCCACACACTACAGTCACGCACTACAGCCACACACTACAGCCACACACTACAGCCACACCCGAGTGTAACCAACCCAAAGTGTTACCTTCTAATAATCCGTTACTGTTATGTTTACTATACCAAGTAACTGTCTTAAGAGTCCAATGTTTTAAGGCAGCACTCTAGGCCACACCTAATGTTACACGCACCATACCCAAGTGGCACTCATTCCCACTGCTCTTCATAGCATACACTAGTTGTATAAGTGTACCCCCACTGTATGCTTCATTGCTACAGTGTTCCCACACCCACAGTGGTGGTGTTCGTGTCACACTCCATGGTTACAGCCTTCTACTATAATATTTAAAACCCTAGCAATCTCTCTCTCACTCACTCACTCACAGAGACACCAGTCTTACCAACTACACAACAGAACCGTACTCCCAACCACACGGTGTTACGAAGCACATAACTCGCCACTACATTCCCTGTTTCGCCAACCCCACACAGTTTAGCACCCAAGTGTTACCCAGTAGACGCATCAGTTGGGTTGTATACATACATAACACTGGGTTGTATACAACACAACTCCCTCCCTCAGTGGTACCAGGTCATACTACCCACCTCACCAACCTGTCCTCTTAAAAAGAACGTCGCTTTTGGCCGTTTGCCCGTATGGCCGAATTTGGACGTAATTTGAAATTGAAAAAAAATATGAAAATAAATTTGGGATTTTTTTTTCAACAACAGTAAGTTAAGGGTCCTCTGATAGGTTAGATGGGCAGGAAATTCTCATAAAGTTTCAAAACGTTATGAAAAACGTTAATTTAAAGTGTCCTCTTATAACCTCTGCGTGTACGCCGGACGGCTCAAATAGAAAACGGAACAGAACGTCACTTTTGTGAGTGGATTTCATTTCAAATTACGTCCAAATTTGGCCATAGTGCGCATACCAGCCAAAAGTGACGTTCTTTTTAAGAGGACGGGTTGCACCAGCAGGAGTTTAGAGCGCCTCTCACGTGACACCAATGTCATACCATAACGAAAGGGTCGTCCTACAGAAAGGGTCGTCCCAAAGGGTCGTCCCAAAGGGTCGTCCAAAAGGAAGGGTCGACCTATAGAAAGGGTCGTCCTAACAAAAAGGGTCGTCCAGAAGGGTTGTCCCAAAGGGTCGTGCTACAGAAAGGGTCGTCCGAAAGGAAGGAACGTCCCAACAGAAACAAAGGTGTTGGGTTGCATGACTTGCATGATGGGTGTGTCTTAACACCGTGTGATGAATAACGGTGAGTGCCCTAACACCGTGTGGGTAATAACGGTGAGTGCCCTAACACCGTGTGATGAATAACGACGGGTTTATCTTAACACCGTGTGATGAATAACCCCATTTTAATAGTTATCAGGCCAACAGCCACTTCTTTTTTATCATAAACTATTACATAAATTGAGAAATACATTGAGGTATAATTTAACACTATATTGTCACCCTTTACATGTGTGTGTGTGTTGGAAAGTTACGCTAATAGAGTTATCCGACTGTGGTGAGTGGGGGAGACCCGGGCTAACCAGCACTGACCCGTCTTCTCAAATAGTAGGTCGGGTTTTGTACGTTTTGGTAACCGACGTCGACACATACAACCTTTCTATTGAACGCCACGGCTCACAAATATCTTAACGTTTTGTCTGTGCCTCGTCGTGATTAGGGTAGGTGGGTTGCTTGGGTGTGTACTACGTTGCTCTGCACAGGGTCTCGGGTGGGATGTTATGCGCAGTGGTGAGTGACGGAAGTGGGTTGAGACGAGGCCTGGTTGTGGGGGCACAGCGTCTACAGTGGGTACGTGTGTGTTGTGGACTGTCCCGTGTGGGGAAATATATAGATGTATTATTATTATTATTATTATTATTATTATTATTATTATTTATATTATTATTATTATTATTATTATTATTATTTGTATTATTATTATTATTATTATTATTATTATTTGTATTATTATTATTATTATTATTATTATTATTATTTGTATTATTATTATTGTCTTTTTGATGAATGCTGGTGGGGCCTCATCACAACACTGTGTTGTTAGTTTGTTGTGTGGTAATAATGTTATAACACTGTTTTTGTTGTGTGTTTGTTGGGGGGGGGGGTGATTGTGAAGGCTTGTTATACTTGTTTCAAGTTTCGGTTGCTCTTTTATTCACTCAAGCGCATTCTAGTATACACTAATTATGTTGACTTAAATACATCTCTGATGCATGATCTATATCACTGGGGGGGGGGGGGAAGGTCTCCAAACTATGGTCCGGGGACCACATCAGGACCTCCACAACGTTGTATCCTGCATACAGCGGCTTCAAATCTATAATATAGATTTCAACTATCGACAAGAATGTCTATTTGCCTGTATGTTGGAGGCCAGACGCTTGGGGCTAGTCCCACCCAAATTTGTAGAGTAAATGGTGAGGGGTTCGGGAGGGACATAGGCTAGGGGAGGTAGGCCTAACTTAAATGCTTTAAATACTTGGTCTTGTGGGTGAAAGATTTTAGACTGCAATAGCTACATGACGTCACTGCAGGCGTTAGCTCTCGGGTCGTGGCCATGACACCATGGCAGTGGCCTCCTGGCTGTCATCGTGGGCAGTTATGTGCTGCATTTTGCTCTGAAGCCATTTATTGTTTTTTTTGCATTTATTGGTGATTCATGTGGTACGACGGTTATTATGGCACCATCCAAAGACGTAAACAAAGAAACCATTGCTCACGTCAGTATATTAAAGCAAGCAGGCCACTAAAGTAAGGAAACGAGTTGATTATTGGGTGTAACCGTCAACATGAAGTATTGCGTGCGCTTGCGAGGAGGGAAACACTGATGACTCGCCATCACAGGAACGTCACAGGTCTGGTCATCCCAAGAAGACTTCTGTCAAGGGCTACCCGGCTGTAACATGAAGCGTACTCGCCAATGGACGCTTTAGAACGTCCACAGACCTTGAAGGCATCTTCCTGGGACAACCAGCCCGATCTTTTTATGGTGGCGGGTCACCAGTGTTTCTCTCCTCGCAAGCGCATACAATACTTTCTCATGTTGACTAAGCTACACCCAGCCATTAACTTGCTTGCTTTCCCTGATGGCTTGCTTCCCTTAAAGCAATGATCTCAGCGATGGTTTCCTTACTTCTGG